AACTAAGGGTTAAGATACATTTTAATACGTAAAGATTTCGATGACCGAAAATATATAATATAGAATTATTATTAGGATATGAATACGTGAATTCCTTTGATCAACATGAATTAGCCAATCATATCGATACGGGCTGTTATTTTAGGGAGCGCATACAGCATAAATTGTATTCTTGATATTTACATAAATGAGAAATCATAACTGCATCAAAAAAGTAAACCTAAACCCATCAGAAATTTATCCCACTTTAGCGATTCTCCTGTTTTACGTACGTACGTACGTACGTATACTAGCGTTGTCAAAAAATCCCATTGAAATCACATAATAATAGGGATGCCCAATAATACACTTTTGTTTTGCAGATATATGCCGATACTGTATTGGTAAATATGAGTACTATATCGATATGAGCATATACAGTATCTGGTATACGTATACATTTTGCATATGTACGTACGTACGTATGTAATCATTGTCTTTGTTATTAAAATTATATTTATTGCTTCGGACTAACATGAGTGAATTCCGAATGTTTATATGGTAAAAGGGAGATACTAATTTAATATTTTACACAAACATTATTTGATTATTATAATCACTAAAATAAGCATTTACCCCCTCTAGATTTTTATTGGTACATGCAGTAATTAATTTTTTTTTTTAAAAAAAAAACAACCATTTTTGGAAAACAAACAATTAAAAATTCATTCAATGATTAATTTTGATTATTGAATTTATTGTTTTTGGATTTAAAACAATATTGCAATAATATTGCAATAAAAGACGAATGATTTTTTACAGTACGGAGATATTTATCATAAATTAAGCACAATGAACTTTAGAATAAAATGCAGTGTAATTATCAACAAAGGGGTTATTTTTCATTATTATCGATCAAGGGGTTATTTTTCAATATTATCAACTACAGTACTAAGGGGTTAATTTTCATTATTATTAACTAAGGGGGTTAAATTATAGTTATTCCACCGGTCGGGCAAATAATTGAACCATTCCCCCAGCGGCGCATTTATGGGGGCGCAAAGCGCCCCATAAACCGCTAAAGGAATATTTCTTATTCTCGCCGACTCGGTGAATAAAATAGTATTTATTATTAAGGGTGATACATTAAAGTTTAATATTAGGTATATGAGTAGTGGAGTAGCGGATAACGACCTGGAGTAGCATGCATGAAGATCTAATTTCAGGAGCATATGAGTAGCGGAGTAGCAGATAACGACCTGGAATAGCATGCATGAAGATCTAATTTCAGGAGCTTGATTTTAGCCAAGAGCTACTTTAGATATCGATATTATCGATACTTTAGATATTGATCAGATATCGCTACTCCTGTACTCCAGATAGCAAAGACCTCATATCTGATATTTTAAACTTTGACTACGTAATTAAAATTGCTATTTAATTAAAATTGCTACGTAATTAAAATTGAAAGTGAGTTGGTTTAATTATTAGGAATTAACATGTAAAATTTTAGATAATAATATGAAAAAAATCAATTACGTAAATTAATACAATAATTTTATATAAAGTTTGTAAATATAGTAATATAAGGCCATGCAAAGTTAATTTTCTGGTTTTCATATCATTAAAACTTCTAAACAGACCCGGCTACCCGGCTTTTTTTTAAAAATTTTATATATAAAAATTTTATTGAAATATCTACCGGTTATTATATATGTAGGTATTATTTTTTCTTAATATATATTAAATAAAAAAATTTTAAATTTTAAATTGACAAAAATTGACCCGGCCGGGATATGAAAACCAGAAAATTTACTTTGCTTCACCTAAGTATAAAAATTTAAAAAATTTAATTATACTATGTATTTTCTATGTATTTTATGTATTCATGTATTTAATAAATTCACAAATTACATTATGCATTCAATATATGCATTTAATAATTCTCTTATTTTTTTTATAAACTTGTAAATTGACAAGAAAAATAATTAATTAATTAAAAAAAATAATTAAATATTGTAATTAATTAATTAATTGTATTTATATTATCCAAGAGTTAAATATTATTTATAAATTTTTTTTAACTTGTTAACTTGCTATACGTAGTAATATATGCTATATCAGAAGTAACGCACAGTAAACTAAACATATTAAGAGCATTAATACAGTATTTGGTTAAGCGTAAAAATAAGAATTATTGTCGTGGACGATCGTGAAATTCGGATGATCGTGAATTATCGTTATTGTCGCGGATAATCATGATCGTGAATTATCGCGGATGATCATGAAATTCGGGTGATCTAGTCAATCGCATTAATTTCGCAATCTTATTTATTGCTATAATCAATCGCATTAATCTCGCAAAATTAATTATCGTTATTGTTAATCAATCGCATTAATTTCGCAAAATTAATTATCGTTATTGTTAATCAATCGCATTAATTTCGCAAAATTAATTATCGTTATTGCTAATCAATCGCATTAATTTCGCAAAATTAATTATCGTTATTGTTAATTAATTTCGCAAAATTAATTATCGTTATTGTTAATCGATCGCATTAATTTCGCAACAGTGTATTTATGGGTTCATAAGTCTAATTTTAAAAATTATGATCATGATGAATTACTAAGTATGTTAAGTAAAGTTATATATATATAATATATATAATAATATATATAATATATATAATAATATATATAATATATATAATAATATATATGAGTGTCGCTAAAAGAAAATCCGAAAATTTTAAATATAGGCCATATTTAAAATTTTCAGGTTTTCTTTTAGCGACACTCATATATATTCAGGAAGATTTAAGATTACAAACAGTTAACGGTTTATCGATAATCATCAGGAAATTTTTAAAAAGTTAAAAATTGAATTCCAGCTACGTATAAAGGTAATTGAATTCCGGCTGCGTATAAAGGTAATTGATATCGATTTTTAAGGTTAAATAAAGTTAATCGATTTTAACTGATTATAGATCAGGTAGATAAGTCATGTCACAAAAAATCAAGTTACTCTGACTTAGAGGTGCAGACATATTGTCGTAATTAGTTACGACCTATTTTAAAACAGATTATTTTTATTGAGGTAATTAGGTTACGACCTAATTAAGACAATATGTCTGCACCTCTACTCTGACTATATTTTTCTATTCTGGCTATTAATTTTATTCATACTTATTATTCGGGATCTAAAAAAGTTAATAAAACCTTTTAAAATTAATAGCCAGAGTGGCTTGCATACACGTTACTGCCGATTTTTTGTGACATGACTTATCTACCTTTATAGATCATAATCGATTTTAACTGATTATAGTAATAATCAATTTTAACGGATTATAGGTAATAATCAATTTGTAGCAATTATTGATAACAAATCGTTTTCAATTTATATTTTATATTGTTTAAGGTTAGGCACATACTTATACGTAGTATAAAAATATAATTATTTCGAAAGGAAATATATATATATATATATATTTAAAAGATGGATGATTCTTTATTTATTCCTCAAGAAGATAAGGTACATGTACACATATATATAAATTTATATATATATATAAAAAAAAAAGGAGTTATATAGAACTATACGAAAAGTTTCACAAATTAATATATAATTTGGCCCAAATATCTAGGATCTAATAAATACAAGTTTGGTTTAAACGTGTGTGGAATGACAAAAAATTAGAATGTAATACAGTAACAAATTAAACTAATTAAAAAAGAGAAAATTATTATTAAAATTCTAAATAAGAATTCTTAAAAAAATTTAAGCATTTCGCTTTTTATACAAAGCATTACGTTTTTTATCTTTTTTATCCACAAGTGTTATCCTAATACAATCATCTTGACCACCGCGCTGAGCGACAGGCATAAGAGTAGGTTGATGGCCAAATGAAGAAACCATAGTACAGATTCTATATAAACCAGCGGGTAATCCAGCAACATCTTTAGTACCAATTACTAGAGAAAAGAAAGTACCATTAAAAGGGTCATTAAGACCTTTAAAGAAAGCAAATAGTTTTGGATCTGGAGCAGAAACTACATTGTTCAACTTTTGAATGGTGATATGAGAATGGCCAAAAATATTTTTGGTTACTTTATCTACGACTTGAGGAAACTTGTAATATTGGGTTGCAGGATCATCAAAGAATCCAGTGACAAGATTGATAGTTTCAATTGTTACGGTGAAATTTTTGTTTGCAGGTAATACACAACCATTTTCAGGTTCGATAATTAGAGTGGAAACCATATGGTCGACATCTGGAATTTCACCCTGAACAGTGTCAGAGCATGAACCCTGTTTCTTTTGTAAACCATCAGTAGGTTCGAATCTATCAGCATTATCCCTGCAGACATTGTTATCCGCTTCGGCTGGGGTAAAATCAACTTTTTGAGCATTTGAAGAAATAACCAATGCCAAAACGATTAAGAAGAGAACCGTGAATTGAGGATTCATTTTTTTTTTTTTGTTTTTTTTTTAATAATAAGATTATTTACAACAGTAAGATTCAATAATTTTTGTGAAATAATAAATCGTAAAAATACAGTAAAAGAACTAATGATTTAGTTAGTTACTAAACACTAATTGTTAAAGAATTTTACCGTATGAAGAAAACCAAGGAAGTCGGAAATGAGAGGTATTTATAGAGGTTTCAAAACTAACGCTTAGTAAAATGTTACGATTATTACATATTTACGTATACACGTAAATTCCAATATAAATTCATAGTTTTTTTTTACTATTATAGATTAAATAAGATAATCAATTAATAAAAGGCAAACATTACTGCAAGGTCCCCGTCGATCCTATTAAATACTTGCATGACTATTTACCTTCTGATTAACAAAGTGGAAGAAAAATGACTATTGTTGCAGTAATTTACTTTATGCACGGCGTCTACCTTGAAGTTAATGAATAAAAGATGTTGAGGAAGATGTTGAAGAAGATGTTGAAGATGTTGAGAAAAATGTCGAGAAAAAATGGTGAGAAAAATGTAAATAAGAGAATTTTACCTATAATAAATTTTCTTCAAACTCAAACTTAATAGTATTCGATAAATTAAAAAGGTATCAAATATTGATATATCCCCCTTTTTTTAGGAATGACAAATTTAGTTACCATTACACAGTTTATTTTTATGACGTGTAAAAAATAACTTTGATATATAAAAAGGGATAATTGCATGTCTTCTCGTGTTAATTAATAATGTCTAAATTAGGATATTTTAAAAGAATGTTGTAAATTCTCAGGTTGTACAATGTTAACATTGAAAAAACAAAGCAAAATGTTGTTAATAAATTAATAATAAATTATAGTTTATTAATAAATTACAGGGATTGTTTTCTACGTTATCGAATATTCCTTAACCTAAAATATAGATTAAATACAGATTAAATACAGATTAAATGCAGATTGAAATATAAACTAAATATAAACTAAATATAAACTAAATACAAATTAAATACCGATTATAATGTAAACCGTACGCTGGTACGTAAGGGGTATCGCTTGAGTTTTTGTGTACCCATAATAAAAATATAGACATCTTTTAACTTTTATATACTAATGAAAGTTATTTTTGGAATCTTTGGCATTTGGCTTGGAATTTGGTTACAGTTTGTTTCATTGACGAAAATTCCGCGAACTTTATCAATTTCCTAAAGTTGCAAACAAGGTGAACAAAGCCCGTGGGAGATTTGACATTATTGATTGTTATCATATGGTACAGTGCAAAAAAATTGTTGCATTGTGCATACAAAAATATATGCTACATACGAATACGTATGCTATATGCTACATACGAATATATACTACATACAATATGCTATATATACTACATACGATATGCTACATACGAATATGAATATACTACTTACGATATGCTACATACGAATATGCTATATGCTACATACGAATATGAATACGTATACTACATACAAATATGCGTAAGTACGTACGTACCGTATGTAAAAAAAGAATTCTTTATTATTAATGTGATTATTAATAGAAATATTATTAATTTTAATAAACTATATTTTCGCAATGCATACGCATTAATAACGATAATAAACGATAATATCTATAGCATTTAAACCATTTGAAGCATTTAAAACATTTAAAGCATTTAAAACATTTAAAGCATTTAAAACATTTAAAGCATTTAAACCATTTGAAGCGTTTAAACCATTTATTTACGTACGTACGTAAAGATTTATTCGTATACTGACCATAACCGACGAACCATAACCTACCTATGTATATCTATTAAATTATCTTTGCCCCCTTTGGCATTTGGCACTATTTGGTAATCGGATAATACGGAGACTTTATCATTAAGGCGTTGTTTGCAGGATGCTCATGTCGTGAAAATTACCATAACAACAATTCGTACGTACGTGCGCGTACAACTAAAGGAGGAAACAATCATCTCTTATTCATTTTATAATTATAATACAAATTAAGAGTTAATGCGTTTTACAAATTTAGTAGTTGATATAATTATTACGTAAATATTTTTGTATTTTTGTAATTAATATTGACATACGAATACAAATAACCTTT